ACACCCGTTTTGGCTTCCAGGTTGGTGTAGGAGGCTTTCCAGGCCTAAAATGGTGTGTGTGTGTGTGTGTGTGGGGGTGTCATTCTCCGTCATCCAGGTCATGGTTGTCCCAAAGGTGCTTTTTTTCAGGAGGCAACTGGAACTTTCTCGTTTGTTTTTTTTCCTTTGAAGACCCTGCAGACTACAAAAATTGCAAAAAATAAATCCACCGTTTGGTCAGAGCTGAAGAAGCTCCTTGGATGAGAAGCGAAATGTCTTCAAGGAAAAACAATGTCCAGTTGCCTTTTGAAAAAGCACCTTTGGGAAGATGGGTGCAGGGGGAGGAGGGGGTTGCAGGGATGAGCTTGCTCCTCAAAAGAGAAACTCTCCAATCCGTCATTTTGAGAGCTGGGCCGGAAACAGACAGAATCCCACCTTGGAAGAGTTTGCATCCGTCTGAGCTGAAAGGCCAGGAGATTCTCAGTCCAGGGAGCACCACTCGGGTGACTCTCAAAGGATGCAAATGGCCACCAGTCCTTCCACTCTCCACCCTCCAGTCAGAGCTGAAGAGGCTCCTTGGATGGGAAGTGAAACATCTTCAAAGAAAAACTGGAAAGTCCAGTTTCCTCCTGAAAAAGCCCCTTTGGGATCTAACCGCTGAGAAGTCTCCGGTCCAGAGAAAGGGAGGGAGGACGGCTGGCCGGTGGTGGTGGTGGTGGGGCCTGGAGCTCTGCGAAGGGGATCCCCTCACCTGTCTGCGGACGGTGTGAGGTGCGCAGATATCAGAGCTGCGAGGTTGTCGTGTCCGGCCTCCCGGGCGATGGCCGCAGCATCGTTGCCGTCCTGTAAGAAGAGAGAGTTAAGAAAAGTGGCGGCTGGAGGGCAAGTTAGGTTCCAAATTGGTCTCTACAAAGAATGAAGAGTTTGTTGCGAGCCGCCTTTGGGAACGTTGCCGTGCTGAGGACTAGCCGCTTGGGACAAGGGCCCAGCCGGGGGGCAGCGACTTACATTGTCGGCGATGGAGGCGTCGCAGGACGGCTGCGCCAGAAGCAGCTGCACGGTTTCCGCCCGCCCGTGCTCGCAGGCGCACATGAGCGCAGTGGAGCCCTCCTCGTCCCGCAGGTTGACGTCTGCCCCGCACGCCAGGAGGGCCTCCACCATCTCTTGCCTCCCGTGGCTGACCGCCAACATCAGCGCCGTCTGGCCGGCCTGCAACCGCAACGGAAACGGGTACGAGGGCTTAGTTTTTGGGGGGAGTGCTTCTGAGCATAGCCAGAGCGCCCTGCTTCCCATTGAACTCTGTCCTGTCCCAGAGAGAGAGGGAGAGGAGAGTGGCTGCCTTTCCCCCCTCCCGAGATACCTACTTGACTGGCCTTGGCGTTGACGTTGCCCAGGTCAAAGAGGCGCCGGACTGTGGCCATATCATCCTGTCGCTCCATGGTTGCCAGCGCAGCCAACATGAGGGCTGTGTAACCTGCTTTATTCTGGTGATTGATGTTGCAAACACCTTATTTGGGGGGAGAGAAATTGGGGGTGAGGACATGAGGGGGAGAGGAGCCCCCATCAACCCCGAGTGTCCTTCCTGGCCTCCGGTGGCCCACGGGCACCACATTCGGGGAAGGCGAGAGATGCTCCCAAAGAAACTGGGAATCGTGAGACTGGTGGGGGCTTCTTCTGAGGGGAGGGGAGGGGGGAGAGAGAGGCTTCACCAGGTCCAGTCTGTTTAGGGACCGGCTCAAAAACAGTCGCTGTGAGAGGGACCTGGGAGCCCGAGCGGACGATCCCTTAAATTGCGGCAGCAGCCAAAAAAGCCAATACGATCCTGGGTTGAATAAACACAGGCAGAGACTCAAAACCGCGAGAAGTCTTAGGACTGTTTTGTAAAGCCTTAGTAAGGCCACACCTGGAGTACAGAATCCAGTTTTGGTCACCCTACTACAAAAAAAAGAGGTTGAGACTTTGAGGAAAGTCCAGAGAAGAGCAACGAAGAGGAACAAAGGCCTGGAGACTAAATCATACGAAGAACAGCTGCAGGATTTGCGTTTGGCCAATCCAGAGAAAAGAAGGACCAGGGGGGACAGGATAGCAGCCTTCCAGTATTTGAGGGGCTCCCCCAAAGAAGAGGGGGGTGAAATTATTATCCAGAGCTCCTGAAGGCAGGACAAGAAGTAACGGAGGGAAACTAACCATGGACAGAAGCAACCTGGAATTGAGGAGAAACTTCCTAACAGCGGGGATAAATAACCGGCAGAACAGCCTGCCACCAGAAGGTGCGGGTGTTCCATCCCTGGAGGCTTTTAAGAAGAAGAGACTGGACAATCATTTGTCTGAAATAAGATCTGCCTGAGCAAGGGGCTGGACTAGAAGACCTCCGGCGGTCCCTTCCAGCTCTTCTATTCCAGGGGCCAGTCGGAAGTATGGGGCTGATCCTCTACACTGGCCTTTAGAGAGCCTCACTTATAGGGCAGATTTGAGAAAGGGGGGGGAACCTGCTGGGAGGGGTGGTGGTGGTCACCTGTGTCCAGGAGGAGCCGGACGATGTCGAAGTTGGAGTGGGAGACGCTGTAGTGGAGCG